GATAGATAGATAGGACGGACAGATATAGACAGACACACGTGTGCGAGAGAGAGAAAAGTTATAACATTTTTATTTCAATGAGATGGATCAATGATACCAGGGTTGAGATGTCTGGCCTTGGATGGTGGGCAAGAAAGTTATTTTTTCTAAAAAAAAAATAATATAAATGCATGAATCATTTGAAAAAAAAAATCTCTATTGTTGTGGGGGAGGGGTTCTATTTTTCTACTATCGGGACGTTCCCAAGTTCTGCCTCTCCCCGACAAAGATCTGAAGCCTACGGGTTCTGAAGAGCCTTCTCTGTGGGGGCACCTACTATCTGGAATGAGCTCCCCCCGGAGATACGGAGGATCCCGGATCTGCGCACCTTCCGCCGCGCTCTGAAGACCTTTTTATTCCATCAGGCTGGCCTGGCCTAATCTTTTCCCTTTTTTCCCTTTTTAAAATGTAAATTTTAATCTGTTTTAAATTATTGGATTGTTTTAAATCTGTCTTGGGCCAAATTGTTTAATTCGGTTTTACTTTGCTTTTAAATTTTGTATTTATGTGTTTTATCTTGTGGCTGTTCACCGCCCTGAGTCCTTCGAGAGTAGGGCGGTATATAAATCAAATAAAATGAAATGAAAATGAAAGGCTCTCCTATTGTAACTTTGCACGCTTCAAAACCCAACTCTGGAATTTGCTTCTTTACCTTTGCTTGCAGGATGTCCTTCCAAGATTTCCTCCGCGAGTTTACCCGCCTCGAGATCTGCAACCTCACTCCCGATGCCCTGAAGGCTCGCAAATTCCGAAAGTGGAACACCACTCTGTACGATGGCACCTGGCGACGGGGGAGCACAGCTGGGGGCTGTAGGAATTTCCCAGGTAATCTCCCGTGGTAGAGGAAGTAATTCTGCCAGCCCAATCCACCTCACACAGGTTGTTGTGGTGGGCAAAAAAAGGAGGAGGAGGAGGAAGGAGTATTAGATATATTTGCCACTTTGAGTTACTTATAAATGTTGTGGCCCACCGATGGCCAGTGGAGCTGGCAGCAGAGTTCGGACAGTGAGGAGGTTGGGGAGGAACGTGGGCCAGTCCTGGGGGGGCTGGGGAAAGCTCAGACGAGGGCTCTGCATTGGAGGCAGAGAGGGAGGTAGACACCAGTGAGGCAGAGGAACAGCTGGAGCCTGTTCCCAGTGTGCGCATGCGCAGAGCTGCCAGAAGACAAGAACAACTCAGAAAGCAGGGTCGACTCGGGAGTAAAGCCACACCTTGGAGGTGATTGGCCCCTCCCATAGGAAACAAAAGAGAAGTGAACGGGGAGGGGGCTTTTGCAGGAAACAATTCCTTCGTTCTGTAGTTTCAAGAGTGGAAAGTTCTATTCGTGACTCTAAGAGACTCTGTGCCAAGTTTTGCCTTGTAGTGCGTTTGGAAACGTTACCTGGCAGTCTTCCAAGCGAGATAAGGTCTGTGTTGATAAGTATTCCTCTGAAAGACTGTTTGGACAGGCCTTGCTGGCTGTGAATGAAAGGAATTCTCTGTCGTGTAAATAAAAGAGGTTTTGCCAGGACCAATTCCTGCTTCCTGCTTTTTAAGGGAGCCTAGATCAGAACAATAAATCAATAAAAACAGGATAAAAAATCCAATAAAAGAATTGGAGGGGACCTTGGAGGTCTTCTAGTCCAACCCCTTGCTCAAGCTATAATAAATAATATATTTTTAAAAAATCCTGGTGGTATTATTATTATTATTATTATTATTATTATTATTATTATTATTATTATATTGTTACTCAGGGCGGTGTATAGCCATATTAAAACAAAACATATACCCATAAAATTTAAACAGAAACAACAATGTGGTAGAACAACTCACATCTCTTTCCAGTCATCATGAAACGCAGGGCAAATTGTTAAGGGAACTATGCACGTGTGGGATGTGTGAAGCTGTTGGGTTCACATTCCTGTTTGCCTTAGCAGGGAATCCTCCAGTTACGTCCATTGGTTCAACAACTCTTCCGAGTGATGGCAGTGCAGGGGGAAAAAAAAGGGGCTTACGACTAGTGCTCAAAAGTTGTGGCCGTTGCAGCATCCTGTAGTCACTTGATCATGATTTATGAGATTTTTGCTGGAAACCAGTGTTCTTTGACCTGCTTTAGGATCATTATAATAACAGGAGTGTAATGCATTATGGTTGTAAATCGAGGATTGCTGTCCTGCTTTACGACCATTACAATAGGACCATAATTTCCAGGGTGCAGTATGGTCGTAAACTGAGGACTGTGTCCTGCTTTAGGACTATTACAACAGGACCGTAATTTCCAAGGTGCGTTATGGTCATAAATCGAGGACTACCCGTATGCAAAACACGTTAGGGGCCCTGGCCAATGCCTGTCCGTGCCAATCTTTCGCACTGGCCTTCTTCCATCTTTTTTCCTCCCTTTCTGTTCTCTCTCCTCCTGCAGCCACGTTCTGGATTAACCCGCAGTTTAAAATCCGCCTTGACGAGATCGATCACGACGACGAGGACGGGCGGAGAGAGCCCGGCTGCAGCTTCCTTTTGGCCCTGATGCAGAAACACCGTCGCAAAGAGAGGCGGCTCGGGAAGGACATGGAGACCATCGGTTTTGCCGTCTACGAGGTAAGACCCCCAGAGGGGTTCTCCCAGGGGTAGGCTTCAAAAATTTTAGCAAGGGGCTCTCTGCCCGGTTGCTGGGATGGTGGTGGCCATGGTGGGCGTGGCCTCTACCACCATGGTGGGGGGGGCACTTTTGCCCTCCCCAGGCTCCGGAGGCCCTCTGGAGGCCGGAAACTTCCGATAGGCCTGTTTTTCACCCTCTCCGAGTCTCCGTGCGCGCCCTGCACTTACCTGCATCCAAAATGGGACTCCTGGGAGGGGAGGGGCAGGATGGGCGGGGCCAGCCAGGAGTGGGATTTGGGGGTTCTCCAAAGTGCACAGAATCTTAGCTAGAGGTTTCCCCCGAACCCCTGCGAACCCCCAGCGGCCCCACCCCTGGGTTCTCCCCACCTCCCTTCCTCGAAGTCCCTCTGAACTGGGATGATTCCTCTTTGGAAACACACTGATTTTTTTTCTTTTTCTGTTTTTCCCAGGTGCCCCCGGAGGTATGTTTGCAAAGAGCAGCCGGCCTGGTCATGGGTTCAAGCCTCCGGGTCCTAATGGCAGTAAAGATTTTTTTTGCAGGGTTCCAGGCCAATGAATCTTTTCCCCCAGCTTGGAGACGCCAAGGAATAAAAGTGGGATTCTAAAATTTTGCTTCAAATAAAGAGCAATTGCTGAGTTAAATCCAGTTCAGTCTTTTTGCTGAATGGGGTATAGGTAGTCTCCTGGCCTCCCAATATAGATAGTCCTCGACTTACGACCATTCATTTAGGGAACGTTCAAAGTTACAACAGCACTGAGAAATGTGACTTGTGGTTTTTCACGCACATGACAGTTGCAGCATCTCCGTGATTACATGATCAACATTCGGATGCTTGGCAACTGGTTCATATTTACGACGGGTTGCAGTGTCCCGGGGTCATGATTCCCGAAGCCAGATTCACTTTACAACCGGGTTACTAACTTAAGAGCTGTAGTGATTCACTTAACAGCTGTGGCAAAAAAGGTTGTAAAACGGGGCAAAACTCACCTAACAACTGTCTCGCTTAGCAATGGAAATTTTGGGGGGGGCTCGATTGTCGTAAATCGAGGACTACCTGTAATTTTGGGCTGTGGTCTGTGACTTCAAAAAAAAGAACTAAGATGCTAGTCCTCATGGTATTAATTGAAAACCAGATTAAGGAATGTCCAAACCGATCTGTCTCATTAAAGTCGCCTACTCATTATTGACGGATCTCCAGCTTTGCAGGCAAGTCTTGGCTTCTGGATTCCTTTTGATCTCCCGGGGATCTCAGTGGGAGGAAATCTCTGGCAAAATGGATTTTTTTTTTAAAATCTCAATTCCTCTTTTTTTCTTGGCGCAGTGCAAGGGGCAGCCGTCCGTCCATCTGAAGCGGGATTTCTTCCTCTCTAACTCTTCCCGGGCCCGATCGGAACAGTTCATCAACCTGCGGGAAGTGAGCACTCGTTTCAGGCTGCCCCCCGGTGAATATATCGTGGTCCCTTCGACTTTTGAGCCCAACAAGGAAGGAGACTTCGTACTTCGTGTGTTCTCAGAGAACAAAGCCGGGACGGTGTAAGTCATCCTTTCCCAGGGCTTTTTAATAACAAAAACTAGTTGGTTGAAATCAGGCTTGGCTTGGGGAAACCCTAATGGCTTGGCTGATAAAATATCCTTTGTTATAAGTCAGACTTGAATCTTTTAGGCTAAGATTCTTAAGGGAGGATTCTGGATTTGGGGTTTGTGTTTGTTCTGTTTTACCAGCATTTAACCCAGTTTAGTGGCTTTCACTAAAGTTTGTGCGTTTCCCATCTCAAAACTGGAGTGTAAGACTTGTTCCATTTCATTGCCTGTTCACTAAGGTAGTTCTCGTTACACATAGTTCTCAACTTATTGAATTAAGTACTTTGATTTGGCCAAGTGTGATTAGACACACAAAAAAATTAGAATAGAATAGAAAATAGAATAAGAATAGAATAAGAATAGAATAGAATAGAATAGAATAGAATAGAATAGAATAGAATAGAATAGAATAGAATAGAATAATAGAGATAGGATAGGATAGGATAGATAATAGAGTAGAATAGAATAGAATAATGGAATGGAATGGAATGGAATGGAATGGAATGGAATGGAATGGAATAGAATAGAATAGAATAGAATAGAATAGAATAGAATAGAATAGAATAGAATAGAATAGAATAGAATAGAATAGAATAATAGAGTAGCGTAGAGTAGAGTTAATTAATTCATGAGCCATGAGCCAAACTTCAAAAGAAATACAGTCATTTATTAAGAGCACCATTTCGGCAATATTCGGATGCAGTTAGAACTAATCCCACGTAGATTTACGTTCCCCTATGACCCTGTCTCTCCCCTCCTCCCTGGCCATGTCATAAATCACGTTCTCCAATTAACCACTTTGGCTGGCTGTGAAATCCAACACCCTCCTTCTGATTGTGGAAAGAAAGCATGTATGGAATGTAGCTTCAGTTAGGGAAATCAATCAGCTCTATCAGTTCTCCCTCCCTCCTGCTCATGGTAACTTGAAAGCTTTGCAAGTTGACAAATAGAAGTAGGATAGGATAGGATAGGATAGGATAGGATAGGATAGGATAGGATAGAGATGCAGTGGGAAAAATATTAACACACAGTTTAAGCTAAGATTCTTAAGGGAGGATTCTGGGTTTGGTGGGGGGTTTGTTCTGTTTTACCAGCATTTAACCCAGTTTAGTGGCTTTCACTAAAGTTTGTGCATTTCCCATTTCAAAATGGGAGTGTAAGCCTTGTTCCTTTTCATTGCCTGTTCACTAAAGTAGTCCTCGTCTTACAACCAGTTGCTTAGCAACCATTCAGACACCCCCCCCCCCAAAAAAAAGTACTTACGATCTGGATTCAAAGCTCTGACGGCTGCCAAACTCCACCCCTTGCAGTCATGTAATCATATTTTTGGCCGTTAAGCAAATTTACAGCTATCCTACAGACACGAGATTGCGATTTCGAATTTTTTTTTTTGCTGGAAACCCAGCTTTTTTTTTTTTCTGGTTTTTCTGCAAAAAAATGCCCATGGCGGACAATTTTTTTATTGTGATGTTCACCTTACAACGACGGCGTTCGCTTAACGACCTCTGCAAAAAAAAAATTGTCCTAAAATCAGATCAGTCTCTTGATGAGCTGCTTAATGACCAGCATGGTTTATAGGACCATTATTCCAGGCTCAGGTATGATCGTAAAACGAGGACTGCCTGTATTTTAGGCTGTTGTTTTTCGAGGAGGTTATTTCTAAGTGTCATTTTCTTCTTCTTTTTTTAATTTATTTCCGTCCTTCTGCAGGGAGATGGATGATCAGATCCAAGCCAACCTTCCTGATGAGGTAGAAGCTTCCGGTGACAATTTTTTCTCTGTATTTGAGGGAATTCAGGAGCAGAAAATAAATTTCCTTTCTCCATTGGAAGGAGAAATTCCTTCATAGGGAGACATATTTTCAAAACGATCCACTTGAAATAAGATGGAGGGTTTTTAATTCGGCTTCCGCCGTTGATTTTATTCATCGGAAGCTGGCTGGGAAATTCCGGTCCTCATTTTCTGACGCCCATCTCCTTTTCCCCGTTTCTCTAGAAAATACTTTCAGAAAGTGAGATCGACGAAGGCTTTAAACAGCTGTTTAAGCAGCTGGCAGGGGCGGTAAGTATGCGAAGATGAGAAACAGCACAAATTCAAAAAAAATATATGAAAGAATTAAAACTAAAAATTGAGCTGGCAGCAGTGAAAGGGGAGAGAAAGAGGTGTGAGGTCATTTTGCCTCTGTTTGGATTTGCTGGTGTTTAATTGTCTTTAACAGATTAACAGAGTTGGAAGGGACCTTGTAGGTCATCTAGTCCAACCCCCTGCCCAAGCAGGAGACCCTACACCCTTTCTAGTTAAAGCAAGAGAGATTCTAATCATCATCTTCATTTAACAACCCTGTAATCCCTTGCGACGTGGATTCTGGGCAACTGAATGGAGCTAGCAGAGTGTTTTACTGGCCGGATTCCCTTCCTGTTGCCAGAGCGGAGTTTTGTTCAGCAGATAAATTCTCAGTGTGCCCAGAGAAAAAAAATATCTGCCTCTGACCTAGGATCGAACTCACAGCCCTCCTGATTGTGAGGCGAGAACTCCTCATCTAGGCCTGTTCAGATACACGCTTTAAAATCCTCCTTTTCCAACATCACACATGATAATCTCATCTAATTTCCTTTTCCTTCCAGGATATGGAGATCAGCCCACGAGAACTGCAAACCATCCTCAATAGGATAATTGGAAAACGTAAGGGCCAAGATAGCATTTCACCTCTCTATGGCCATTCTTTTTTTTTAATAAAACAGTTGCATTAATAAAAGAGAAAAACAATCTGTTTTGCTGCAAATCCTGGGGGAAAACTTGGGGAAGTGGCGAAGACTGCTCTTGGCCCAACCCACCTCACAGGGTTGTTGTGGGTAAAATAGGCGGCAGGAGTATTGAGTTGATCCATATACAGGTAGTCCTCGACTTCACGACCACAGTAGAGTTGCTAAGCGAGACACTTGTTAAGTGAATTTTGCCCCATTTTACCCCCCTTCCCTGCCACCGTTGTTAAGCGAATCACTACAGTTGTTAACTTAGTGACATGGTTGTTAAGTGAATCTGGCTTCCCCCGTTGACTTTGCTTGTTCAAAGGTCGTAAAAGGGGATCACGTGACCTCCGAGACACTGCAGACGTCGTAAATATGAGTCAATTGCCAAGTGGCCAAATTTTGTAAAAACAATCATAATTTGCCTTTTTCAGTGCCGTTGTAACTTTGAGCAGTCACTAAACGAACTGCTGTAAGTCAAGGACTCCATATATATATATATATATATATATATATATATATATATATATATATAAGATAAAATCATTGTCTTTTCTTTCTCCGTTGTAAATTGTAGATAAAGACCTGCGCACCAAAGGATTCAGCTTGGAGTCCTGCCGAAGTATGGTGAACCTGATGGATGTATCCCATTTTCCACAGCGTGAGAAAGGGAGGCCCGTTTGTCAGTTCAGAGGTGCAGAACTACAGAATAACAGGAGTTGGAAGATGACCTTGGAAGTCATCTAGTCCAGGGGTCTGCAACCTTAAATACTCAAAAGAGCCATTTGGACCTGTTTTCCCACAGAAAAGAAAACACCGGGAGCCACAAAAGCTGGGTGGGCGTGGCCAACTTGATGTCACTCACTTCTACCAGTCACATGACCCTCCCCTAACCACGCCTACCCAGCCGGTCATTAGGGCAGAGAACCAGTTGTTAAAAAACACCGGGAACCACAAAATTCTTTTGACATCTCTCTCTCTCCCCCTCCCTCTCTCCCCTCTCTCCCCCTCTCTCTGTATCTCTCTGTCTCTGCTGCTTCTCCATCCCCCGCTGTCGCCCTTACCTTCTCAGGCCAGGCAAGGAGTGATTGGGAGGGGAGGGCAATGGGGGGTCGCATCACTTTCTTTCTTTCTCTTTTCATTCTTTCTTTCTTCCTTTTCTTTCTTTCTTTTTTCATTCTTTCTTTCTTTCTTTCTTTCTTTCTTTCTTTCTTTCTTTCTTTCTTTCTTTCTTTCTTTCTTTCTTTCTTTCTTTCTTTCTCCTTTCTTTCTTTTTTCTCCTCTTTGTTTCTCACCAAGCCATACCCACAGAACTGGTAGTAAAAAAATTTGAAACCCATCACTGGCTCCCACATGCGTGAAAACCATCTGGCTGGCACGCTGGAACCCGGAACAGCAGCGGGCGATGTCTCGCGTGCTTGGAGAGATGACTCTGTGTGCCACTTCCAGCACACGTGCCATAGGTTCGTCTAATTTTTTTTTCCCCCTGTGGTTTTGTAAGTGAATGGTTGGGAAGGGAGGGGTGAATTTTCTCAAGCATGTTTCCTTAACAGCCCCTCCATCTATCAGAAAGACGGGAATGGAAAACTCGGCTTAGTGGAATTTAATATCCTTTGGACTAAGATTAAAAACTATCTGGTAAGTTTCCATCCGCTCAGCTGGTTTTAAAGCGCAAACGGATATTTGTACAACTATGTTTGCATTTCATAGACTGCTAAAATAATATCCTTCTCAAGATATTATGACTTTTTCAGCAAAGTATTTATTTGTTTTTCAGCAAAGTTATCAGCATGGTTTTGTTTAGTGGATTTGTTTGTTTTTTTCTTATCTCCTAAACAATGGACATTGTTCACATGTAACAATAAGCCATCATTCATGGGCTCTCCTGATTGATTCAAAATGAATCAAGCATTGCAGCGTATGCAGCTTCTTACACAAAACAAAAGTATATTTGGATGCCTGAATTGTGGATCCTTGTTGGTTGCTTCCAAACAAGCCAGAATTTCCTCTTGGCTAATGGAATCTGGCTAGTTTGCAAGCAACAGATCAAGATCTGAAGGATGGACATCATGCAAAATAGGTCATTTCTCTTAGAGGCTTATTGTTTGTCAGCTGTCGTGTCAGGCTCTTAGCTGTAAATACAGGTAGTCCTTCACTTATGACCGCAATTGAACCCCAGATTTATGTTGCTAAGTGAGACAGTTGTGAAGTGAGTTTTGCCCCATTTTATGACCTTTCAGTTAAGTTAGTAACACAGTTGTTAAGTGAATCTAGCTTCCCCATTGACTTTGCTGGTCAGAAGGTCACAAAGGGATCACATGACCCTGCAACCGTCATAAATTCATGCCAGTTGCAAAGCCAATTTTGATCACAGGAATACTGCAATGGTCGTAAGGGTGAAAAACAGTCAGAACTCACTTTTTTCACTGCTGTTGTAACTTTGAATGGTCACTAAGCAAATGGCGGGGTTTTTTTTTTCCTATGAGTTGGCAGTCACTCACCCGGCTTCAAAACTCCGTTCAAATCACCGCTCCTGCTCAATACTTAGTCTGGTTGCCCCAGCTTCTTGACGGTCACAATGGCTGCCCCCCCCCCGCAGCCGAGTTGGAGAGAGTTTCCTCTGACCTTCGAGGAACTTGCCTGTTCCTCTTGGTCTTCCAAGGTGTCTCTCCTTCTTCCCCGTCCCTAAGAGATGGTTCCGGTCCGAAGACTCCTCAGCAGGAGTTTGTCAGCCCAGGATTTCGCGGAGCTCGTTAGAGCCCGCTATTTCCCTGACTGTCTCACCGCGATGCTTCCGGTCATTAAGCAAATGGTTGTAAATTGAGAACTATCTGTACTATCCCCACAAGAAAGACTGATGTTCGCAACATGGGATATGTGGGTCCCAAGTGCAGATAGAGCCGTTAGGTAAATATGGAGTAGGTATAACAGAATAACAAGAGTTGAAAGGGACCTGTGAGGTCTTCTAGTCCAACCCCCTGCTCAGGCAGGAAACCCTATAATGTTTCAGACATGTTGATTTGGAAGGCAGGGAAGAAGAGAGCTATGGAGCTGGTATAGATTTGGGTTGATCCTCGTAGGTAGATTTTCTGTATATATTTGATTTATTTTTTCTCTCTCTGTAATAAGCTCCTTTATTGCTGTTGAATTTCTGGAGAATCCCCTTCCCTCTCATTTGTCTTCCCTTTAAAAACTTTTCAGGCAGTCTTCCGGAAGTTTGATTTGGACAAATCGGGAAGCATGAGTTCCTACGAAATGCGAATGGCTCTGGAGTCTGCAGGTGATACGCCCGTTTCTTGGACCATTTGGCTTTCTTTCCATTTTTCGGCTGCCTGTGCAGCAGACTAATTCTCAAGGAGGGCTAAAAAAAACCCCAGTAATAATAAAAGCCCTGCCAAGATTTTCAATTGGAGGACAAGGATTAATTTAATTTACTGTAATTCAATCCATTGCATTTAAATCCTATCTTTTCTGTGAGAGCTCCAGGAAACTCCACAGGTGTGACTATTACAGTCCTGTGATGTTGGTTGTCTTAGGAATGTCTGTTTGGCCCCATATCACCCAATCAAGTGGGGAACTTGACTTGGGTCTCTTCCTATTAATCCTGTGTCTTCACTCTCTGATTCTTAACTTTTTTTTTTTTTTTAATTTGATTTATATGCCGCCCTTCTCCGAAGACTCAGGGCGGCTTACAATGTGCTCAGCAATAGCCTTCATCTTTTTGTATATTTATACAAAGTCAGCTTATTGCCCCCACAAACTGGGTCCTCAATTTACCTACCTTAGAAAGGATGGAAGGCTGAGTCAACCTTGAGCCTTGGCGAGATTCGAACCCTGCAGTAATTGCAGGCAGCTGGTCTTAATAACCAGCTTAATAACAGGGTGCCTTAAACCTCTGTACTACCAAGGCTCTTCAGCAACTTTAAAATGGGTGGACTTCAATTCCCAGAATTCCCTAGCCAGCTTGATTTAAGATGGGTGGATTTCACTTCCCAGAATTCCCCCAGCCAGCATGCTTGGGAGTAAAAGTGGATGCCTCTTAAAATTGCTGAGGTTGTAAAAATGCAGCCTGAACTGCTATATCCTCACGGAAAACTCAAACACATCCCCTTTGCACTCTGCACGTGTGCTAATTTTAGTCTTCCTTTTCTCCTTTAGTTCCTAATTAGCCTTCCCCTAAATGGAAAATTGACATCGCTCTTCCTTTGCCTCCCTGCAGGTTTCAAACTGAACAAGAGACTCTACGAGTTGATCATCACTCGCTACGCGGAGCCCGACCTGGCCCTAGATTTCGACAACTTTGTCTGCTGTTTGGTGCGGCTGGAAACCATGTTCCGTGAGTTCTTACCCCTCCCCGGTATTTGGGGAGAGAGGGAGGGGCATGGCTGAATAACCAGATGATCCCAAATTGAATCCCAAAGGGATTCAAATGACACTGCAAATGTCATAAATATGAGCCAGTGGCCAAGTGTCTGAATTTTGATGCTGCAAAGGTCGTAAGTGTGAAAAATGATCATAAATCACTTTTTTCGGTGCCGCTGTAACTTTGAATGGTGCCTAAATGAACAGTCATAAGTCGAGTTGTGGGTCGGACACGACTTTGCACCTAACAACAACAAAAGTCGAGGATTACTTGTATTCTCAGTGGCCTCCAGGTTTTCTGTTATTATGCTAAGCTTGTCGATCGAAAGGGTCGGCAGTTCAGCGGTTCGAATCCCTAGTGCCGCGTAACGGGGTGAGCTCCCGTTCCTTGTCCCAGCTTCTGCCAACCTAGCAGTTCGAAAGCAGGTAAAAAAAATGCAAGTAGAAAAATAGGGACCCCCTTTGGTGGGAAGGAAACAGCGTTCCGTGCGCCTTTGGCATTTAAGTCATGCCGGCACATGACCATGGAGACGTCTTCGGACAGCGCTGGCTCTTCAGCTTTGAAACGGAGACGAGCACCGCCCCCTAGAGTCAGGAACAACTAGCACATACATGTGAAGGGAATCGTTACCTTTGCCTATTACAGGGGTTGGACTAGAAGACCTCCAAGGCCCCTTCCAGCCCTATGATGCTGTCTTCTAATCTAATGATTTATGAATGTATTGATCCTTACTTCTCTTTCCTTTCTAGGATTTTTCCAAGCCCTGGACACGGACAAAGATGGGATTGTCACGTTCGACTTGATTAAGGTAACCATATCCGGGCATCCCGGAGTGCTGGACTACAGTTTCCAACCCTGCTGGCTGGGGAATTCTGGGAGTTGAAGTCCACTTACCTTAAAGCAGGCTGTTGAGGAAACACTCATAGAAGCAAATAAATGTCTTGAGTGCACTGAGAATAGATTTGGCAGTGGGGTGTGCAAATTCACACTTGCAGGGCCCTTGCAACCTTGGAGCAGATTTGCATGCCAGTGGGCGTGGCTTGGTGGGCATGGCAGGGGAACGATACTGCAAAATCCCCATTCCCTCCCCACTCCAGGGGAGGGATACTGCAAAATCTCCATTCCCTCCCCACTCCAGGGGAAGGATACTGTGAAATCCCCATTCCCACCCCACTCCAGGGGGAAGGATACTGCAAAATCCCCATTTCCACCCCACTCCTAGGGGAAGGATACTGCAAAATCCCCATTCCCTCTCCACTCCTGGGAGAAGGATACTGCAAAATCCCCATTCAATCCCCACTCCAGGGGAAGGCCATTGCAAAATCCCCATTCCCTCCCGACTCAAGGGGACGGATACTGCAAAGTCTCCATTCCTTCCCCACTCCAGGGGAAGGATACTGCAAAATCCTCATTCCCTCCCCACCCCTGGGGGAAGGATACTGCAAAATCTCCATTCCCACCCAACTCCGGGGCCAGCTAGAGGTGGTATTTGCCAGTTCTCCGAACTACTCAAAATTTCCGCTACCGCTTCTCCAGAACCTGTCAGAACCTGCTGGATTTCACCCCTGCCCTTTTCCTCTCGTGCTGTTTCTTTCCACTTCTAATCCCAAAAGACTTGGATTATTTGTAACCTCTTTGACGAGCTTTTTGGGCCAAAGTGTGAAACCCAGAATGCTCTCAAAAGACCGTTTTTTGGGAATGGAGGAAAGAAAAAATGGTGTTTTTTCTGGTTGTGGCATTTTTTTCGGGGGAAAAAAATAATTCTCTTGTGTTTTTTTTCACAGTGGATACAACTGACCATGTTTGCCTAAAAAAATATACGGATCACGTCCCGTGCAAATTCTTTGGACTTTTTCTTCTCGCTGGACATTGTATTTTGAAAGTGGAGGAGAATCTTACCTGCAAGTGCCTTGCGTTAACGCTTTTCGCGGCTTCTGTTCCAAGTAGAGGGAAACACACAAACACACACAGACACACACACAAAAAAACACACTTCCAATTTACCGTTGTTTCATTTCTTATGTGGGCTCCTACCCAGTTCTGGGGACCTGAAAGCAGCTTCGTTTCAAACTTCTGTTTTGAAGAACCCCTGTTGTGAGGCTGATCAGGAATCGCGCTACGATTCTGCGAAAGCCACAAAACGGCCTTGCGACACAACCGAACTGGAGTTTCTAGCAGCATTTGTCAGGTTAACAAGATTTTGGGGGGGGTTACTCTTGGATAACCCCAGCCTTGGCAAAGTATAAATTACAGGTAGTCCTCAACTTGCAACACTTTGTTTAGTGACCATTCAAAGTTATAGGCGCTGAAAAAAAAAAGATTCGCTTAAACAATCGTGCTGCTGATTTAACAACTGCCGTGGTTCACTTCGCAAATGTGGCAAGGGAAGAGTCGTAAAATGGGGCAAAACTCACTTCCCGAATGTTTCACTTAGAAACATAAATTTGGGGGTTGATTGAGGTCGTAAGTCGAGGATTAGCTGTACCTGGAAAACTGACCCTTTTTGGGGGGGAACTGCAAAATTATAGGCCAAAATATATATTTAATCTTGCTGATGGTGAACCAAGCCTCTTTGCCAATTTATCATTGAGCACTTCAACCTGTGACTCCTTTTCATTTTTTTTTTAAATACTTCCTCAACTTACAATCGTTTATTTAGTGGCCATTTAAAGTTACAACAGCACTGGGGGGAGGGAAACTTACAACAGGTCCTCGCACTTATAACCACTGCACCATTCTTATGGTCATATGATCAAAATTTGTATTTATGATGGTTGCAGCATCTGGAGGTCACATGGCCGCCATTTGCGACTGTCCCAGCCAGCATCCGCCAAGCCAAATCAATAGGGGAAGCTGGATTCACTTAATGACTGCCCGATTCGCTTAACCACTAAAGAGGTTCTCTTAACAGCGCTGAAAAAGAAGGTTGCAAAATTGGGCGCGGCTCGCTTAAACAATCCCCTTGCTTAGCAACGGGAACTCTGCTCCCACTTGTGGTCGTAAGTCGAGGACTACCTGCATTTATGGCTAAGAGAATGGCATGATTGCTGGTAAACTCAAGTGACCGACGAAATGACCTACTTGGCATTATGTCCATCCTTCAAATTTCTCTTACAGGCCAACCCTCCTGTTTGCCAGGGGTGTTAAAACCAGGAATTATCTCCATCCTTGGTCCCCAGCGGAGCGAACAATATTTCATGCCTTTTGTTATGCATGTGTGTGTTTATATATAAATATATATATATAATATATATATATATATATGTAATTTCCCGGAAGCTTCTGGAAGCATTTCGGGGCCTAATCAACCTCCAGGCCTTTGCGGGAAGATTTTCCTTCCTGCCAAGGTGAGTTTGGGAAACCCAGTGCCTAAAGACTTCAGCTGTTACGCACTCCTTGCCTATCTAATGCGCTTGCTGCCAAATATTTTATAAGGAGAGTTTGCGTCATAGCCCCCCCATCCGGGGTTAGTGGTACCCCCTTATCGGAGAACCTCGAAAGCCTCGGGAACCACTTCTTGGACACGGTCCCATGTTCAGGACTTGGTTTTTAACTTCTCTTAAAAGTTCTCTGGTATCGCCCCCATTTATGTTCTTATGCGTGTTTTTTGTATGGTAGAAATGGATTTTACTTCCATGCCGAAATAAAAGAAACTGTGGTAATGCTTAACACACCACTACACCTGCTTTGTCTACTTGTGATTATTGCTGCGTTGTTGTTAGTTGCGAAGTCGTGTCCAACCCATCGCGACATGGACAACGTTCCTGCAGGCCTTCCTGTCCTCTACCATCCTCTGGAGTCTATTTAAGCTCACGCCGACTGCTTCCGTGACTCCATCCAGCCACCTCCTTCTCTGCCGTCCCCTTCTTCTCCTTTTGCCCTCCATCATTCCCAGTATGAGGCTCTTCTCCAGGGAGTCCTTCCTTCTCATTAGGTGGCCAAAGTGTTTGAGTTTCCTCTTCAGGATCTGGCCTTCTCAAGAGCAGTCAGGGTTGATTTCCTCTAGGACCGACTGGTTGGATGACCTTGCAGTCCAAGGGACTCGCAGGAGTCTTCTCCAGCCCCAGAGTTCAAAGGCCTCCATTCTTTGGCCTTCTCAGCCTTCCTTATGGGCCAACTTTCACAGCCATCCATTGCAACTGGGAACACCATAGCCTTGACTAGACGCACTTTTGTTGGCAGGGTGATGTCTCTGCTTTTTAGTACGCTGTCTAGATTTACCATGGCTTTCCTCCCCAGGAGCAAGCGTCTTTTAATTTCTTTAAAAGAAAGCGGGAGTCCATCAGTTCAAATCCCATCTTAGCCATGTAAATCAGCTGAGTGACTTTGGGCCAATCACCAGGAGACTGTGAGTTCTAGTCCTGCTTTGGGCATGAAAGTCAGCTGGGTGACTTTGGGCCAGTCCCTTTCTCTCAACCCAACTCACCTCAGAAGGTGGTTGTTATGGGGAAAATAAGTGGATGAAGATGTGCTGGATATGTTTGCCACCTTAAACTGTTTGTAAAAAGAGGAAATACGGAATACAAACAAATAAATAACATTTATTGGGTGGGGATTGTTGGAGAGGGAAAGTTTTATACCAGGTCATCGCAGATTTTGCTGCCTCATCGAAAGGCTGGTTGAGAACTTGTCTATGCCAAAAACACACAGCGGCTGTGGCATTATCGTAGGCTGTGTATCTCACAGCTGCTTCTCCATCTGTCTTCTCCTGTGGCACTTCCTTGCCATTTTTGGAAGTATTTTGGAGGGTGTTTCGTGGACTCTGTTCAAAAGCAGGAGGATCCTTCTAACACCGTTGAGAACGCCTATCTAACTCAACCAAGGCAGCCAAGCTAGAGACCGACAAGATCTCTCTAGTGGATCTCCAAGCAGCGGACTTCAGGAACGGGTGGCTACGTTGGCTGACATCATGGAGAAGAAGTCCCTGTGTCTATGTACAGTCCTTCTCGTGACCTTCTGCATCCCTGGGATCTTGACTGAGAAGAGTAAGCTAAGGGTGAAAAGTGGGGGTCCCTTGGGAAGTGGGGGTTCCATGGTAGGATCTTCACTGTCCAAGAATCCACCTTGAATCAACCATGGATTCATGCAAGGACCTTTGCACAGGTTCGCCTGGTGCACCAATTGCGACCATACTTGGATCAGGAGGCTCTCCTCACAGTCACTCATGCCCTTGTCACCTCACGGTTAGATTATTGCAACGCACTCTACATGGGGATACCCTTGAAGAGTGTTCGGAGACTACAGTTGGTCCAGAATGCAGCTGCGCGAGCTGTCGTGGGTGCACCTAGATACACCCACATTACACCAATTCTCCGCGAGCTGCACTGGCTCCCTATTGGTCTCCGGGCACAATTCAAGGTGTTGGTTATTACCTTTACATGGCTCAGGGCCAGGCTATCTTCGAGACCGCCTTCTACCACATAGCTCCCAGTGACCGGTAAGATCCCACAGAGTTGGTCTCCGGGTCCCGTCAGCTAAACAATGCTGGCTGGTGGGCCCGCAGGGGAGGGTCTTCTCTGTGGCTGTCCCAGCTCTCTGGAACCAGTTACCTCTTGAGATCCGGACTACCCCCACCCTATTGGCCTTCCGGAAAGTGGTGAAGTCCTGGCTTTTCCGGCAGGCCTGGGGCCGTTGATCTCACTGTTGCAATCTTGCGAGATCCGGCCATGAATGGTGTGTGTGGGCTTTTAATGTTTTTATAATGTTTTTTAATAATTTTTTATATGTTCATTGTTCGCATTATTTTTGCTGTAAGCCGCCCAGAGTCCCTTGGGAGTTGGGCGGCATAGAAATGCGATAAATTAAATTAAATTAAATTAAATTAAATATTAAATTAAATTAAGGTGTGTTTGAATAGCTTGGTGGGCAGGAAGTCCACCTTTTGATGGTCTTCTCTATCTTCTTTCCTTAGTTCTGGAAGGAAAGGCCTTTGTGTTCCCTAAGTCTTCTACCGACTCCTACGTTATCCTGAGGCCCGACTTACAACAAGGGCTGCGACACTTCACCCTCTCCCTCGAATTTTTCACCGATTTGACCCGTAGCTATGTCCTCTTCTCGGCTGCTTCCCAGGATCACGACAACGAGATCCTCCTGATGCGACACCTTGAAGAATACCACACTTGCGTGGGAGGAGAGTGCGCCGTTTTCATCGTGCCCAGACTCACAGCCCGATCTACCTTTCATTGGGAATCGATTTGTACGACTTGGGATTCAGCTTCCGGGATAGTCCAGCTTTGGTTGAACGGGCAGCGCTTGCCAAGGAAAGGGGCAGCGAAGGGCTACCAGGTCAAGACGGATCTGGTGATGATGCTGGGACAGGAACAAGATTCCTACGGGGGCAGCTTTAATTCGGATGAGTCCTTTGTGGGAGAAATCGCGGAGGTCTACCTCTGGGACAACGTCCTGCCTGCCGAACAGATACGCAACATGCAGAAACATACCACGCCGGCCCCTTTAGTGGCCTGGACCTCGATGAAATTTGAAATCCAAGGCTACGTGTTGACGGAGCCTTTGTGAAGCCTTCAGTCAAAGAGAAGGAGGAGGAACCTTCTTGAGAAGTTCTCACTTGCAGGCCTGATCTCAGCATTCCTCAACCTTGGCCACTTGGAGATGTTTGGACTTCAACCCCCAGAATTCCCTCGAAGCATGTTTTCCAAACTACTCAAAATTTCCGCCACCGGTTCTTCAGAACCTGTCAGAACCTGCTGGATTTCACCCCTGCTTTGGGCTTAATTGTGGTCGTATGTTGAGGATTACCTGTAATTCTCTCTCAGCTATGCTTTCATTTTTGTCAGTTTTGTTGCTGATATTTTGCCCAAGATAAAAAAACAGCTTTATCAATCAATGAGAACCTCACTTCTGCCCTTAAAAGATCTTCTGTAATAAACCTGCTGTGTGTTTATGATTTTCTTGTTGTGTTTTCATTTTGTTAGTATTGATGGGTATTTCAAAAAAATAATATTTTATTACCGGTAGAAATATTCTCGCGATGCCTCGAAATTTGCCACTGGAGGGGCAACGAGATTAGCTTCTATTATTGCAATGCCGATTATAATCCTCTCTGCTATACAGGTAGTTCTCGACTTACAACCATTCATTGTACAACAGCACTGAAAAAAGTGACATCATTTTTCACATTTACAACCATTGCAGCAATGCCAATGTAGCTAAATTCCACGGATTTGATAACCGATGCTCACATTACTAAGGCCAACTACCAACTGCCCTTCGTAGGCATGCTGCTGGATTCCTTTCTCTTATCCTTTTTTATTAAATTTAGAGGGCACCCAACTCCAAAGAGTTTTGGGCAGCTTTAGAGTTTAAAAGTATTCTTTTAAAAATGCGTGCAAAAAAAAAAACCCACAACAAAACACACACACTCATCATTTTAAAAGGGAAAAATCCTATAGGCTTAATAACTTGAGTGAGAAAGTTGTGTCTCGTTCAAAACCAGCCTAGAAAAAGGTTGGCTGCATGTCCACCCTGCGAGGTAGACCAGAGAAGAAACACCACCATATGTAGTTTGACTTTATTGTTTATACTGTTAAGAAGAATCTTGCAAATCTGGAAGTATATGTCTCCCCACCCTTTTCTTTACAACCCAAGAAATTAGGGAGGGTCCCTTCTGAGCTTCTTGCCCTGCCCACATCCCTGCTGTGGGCTCAGCTGCCTTTTATTTGAGTGCATTAAATATGATGGGCTACCTTGAATTATACATAAAAATGTGGGAATTTTAATAATTTCCTAGATGTTGTCATAGTGTTTAATGGGCAGGTATGCTTGCAAAACGTTTTTGTGCTTTTATTCTTCGAAAGATAACGCTCAGTCACACTTTTTTCTCCTTTATTGACAATTCTGTCCGACGAAGAGCTCTGCATAATACCGAAGTCTTGCAAATTGTTTTGAAAGACCCGGTGGAAAATTCTGGCCGCTCTAGGAACGAACGCTCTCTCGCTCCTCTGAGTCGCCCATTCGGCACAGACGTGGCTGCTCTAGGAACGAGCGCTCTCTCATTCCCTGAATCGCCCATTCGACACAGGCTTGGCCGCTCTAGGAACAAACCTCTCTCCCTCTCTCGAGTCTCCTTTTCAGGCTCGGCCGCCACGCCCACTCTCGGACAGGCGCCTACACCCAAGCCGAAGCCGGAGTGGGCGTGGCGTCCGCCCACTTTTCTCTGATTGGTATTAGAGCGCGGGGCGGTGCCGTAAATAGTCGAATGGACGCGCGCGGTTTTCTTTCTCTCCGCCCCCCTTTTTTTTTCTTCATTCGGGATTTTTTTTTTCCTTGTAGTGGCGCGAAAAGGAAGCGATGATGGGTTCGGCGGGGATTATGGATGCTGTGGTTGCCGACCTCAAGGTCTTCGGGCTGGATTTCGCGGAGGAGGAAGACCAGGACGCCATTGCCGAGAAATGTGAGGATAAATCAAAGAGGGAAGGTGGAAAAAGGAGATAAAGGGCAGTGGGGCGCTAGTCCTCATGAAATATTGGGATGGGGGCGTGGCTTAAACCTATAAATTACCTCTTTTTACCATTTGGCTCTTCGATTCCAGCATCTTGAATCCCACCTGTGCATACAACTTCCTTCCTTCCTTCCATTCTTTCTTTCTTTCTCTTTCTTCCCTCTCCCTCCATCCCTCCCTCCCTCCCTCCCTCCCTCCCTCCCTCCCTCCCTTCTTTCTTTCTTTCTTTCTTTCTTTCTTTCTTTCTTTCTTTCTTTCTTTCTTTCTTTCTTTCTTTCTCCTCCCTCCCTCCTTTCATTCTTTCTTTCTCTCTCTTCTTCCTTCCTCCCTCCCTCCCTCCCTTCTTTTTTTTCTTTCTTTTTTCTTTCTTCCTTCCTTCTTCTCTCCCTCCCTCTTTCTTTTTTTCTTTCTTTCTCTTTCTTCCTCCCTTCCTCCCTCCCTCCCTCCCTCCCTTCTCTTTCTTTCTTTCTTTCTCCTCCCTCCCTCCTTTCTTTCTCTCTCTCTCTTTCTTCCTCCTTCCTTCTGCCCTCCCTCCCTCCTTTCTTTTTTCTTTCTTTTTTCTTTCTTTTTTCTTTCTTCCCCTTCCTTCCTTCCTTCCTTCCTTCCTTCCTTCCTTCCTTCCGCAATTAACCATAGTGGAAATAGCCACATTGACACAATGATGTTCTGGCCAGTTATAAAAAGGACATAGAATGAAATGGAAGGAGATCATCCAGGAAAAATTGACAGGATTGGAAACCAAATTGAATTCTGCAAAAACCAATCCCACTGCTTTTGGGGACGATGGGATCTCTTTCTAATGTCTGTTGACTAAAAAATAAGACCATTTCCTTGTCATTTACTCTCTTACAGTAGAAGAAATCTGCATGACGGGATGGGTATCGAAGTCGGAGTTAGGAAACGAGCTGGTCGCTTTTGCTATGCGCAAGGAAGTCCTTCTTTTGACTCTGGAAAACTTACTTGCCTTCGAACACGAGGTAGAAGGAAATGGTGGCGGGCTTGACCCCAGTTTTAGCAATTACAGAGAGTCCTTGACTTATGACCACAGTTGAGCCCAACATTTCTATCATTAAGTGAGACATCTGTTCAGTGGCTTTTGCCTCATTTTACGACCATTCTTGCCACTGTTGTTAAGTGAATCACTGCAGTTACGTTAGCAACACGGTTAAGTGGCATCCCCATTGGCTTTGCTTTGTCAGAAGGTCGCAAAAGGGGATCACGTGACCTCATGACACTGCGACCGTCATAAATATGAGCCATTTGCAAAGTATTTGAATTTTGATCACATGACCATGGGGATGCTGCAACGGTCGTGAAAAATGGTCCTATGTCACCTCTTTCAGTGCCGTTGTAACTTCGAATGGTCACTAAACAAACTCTTGTAAGTCAAGGACTACCTGCATTTGCACCTATGTTATATTTTTTGCCAATTTTATCTTTTTTCCAGGCTCTCTCTTGATAGAAAGTTTACAGTCTACAAAAGTCTAGTCTGTAATTGTAAAAAAATAATCTTGGAGTCCTAGTGGACAACCATTTAAATAGGAGCCAGCCTTGTGCAGCAGCTGCCAAAAAAGCCAACACAGTTCCAGGCTGCATCAACAGAGGGATAGAATCAAGATCACATGAAGGGTTAATACCGCTTTATAAGGCCTTGGTAAGGTCACACTTGGAATCCTGCATTCAGTTTTGGTTGCCACGATGTAAAAAAAGATGTGGAGACTCTGGAACGAGTGCAGAGAAGAGCAACAAAGAGGACTGGAGGTTAAAACATATAAAGAACGGTTGCAGGAACTGGGTATGTCTAGTTTAATGAAAAGAAGGACTAGGGGAGACATGATAGCAGTCTTCCGATATCTCAGGGGCTGCCCCAAAGAAGAGGGAGTCAAGCTATTCTCCAAAGCACCTGAAAGCAGGACAAGAAGCAATGGGTGGAAACTAATCAAGGAGAGAAGCAACCTAGAACTAAGGAGAAATTTCCTGACAGTCAGAACAATTAATCAGTGGAACAACTTGCCTCCAGAAGTTGTGAATGCTGCAACACTGGAAGTTTTTAAAGAAGAGATTGGATATCCATTTGTCTGAAGTGGTGTAGGGTTTCCTGCCTAGGCAGGGGGTTGGACTAGAAGACCTCCAAGGTCCCTTCCAACTCTGTTTATTCTAAATTCTATTCTAATATTGATAAGATGGATGTTTTCCATTTTAATAAAGCTAAACCTTTCCATTATAATAAAGCTAAACTGATATTTTCTATTATAACAAAGCTAAGGTAAGCTATAAACTATAATAAGGCTAACTGTTAAGACCGTAACAACTTTAAATTGATTGCAACTCCCAGAATTCCCCAGCCAGCATGTTTTATTGGAAGAAACAACCAGCCAACACAACTGCAATATTTTGAGGTTGTTTTTTTCTTCCTTTTAGATGGTGAGCAAGAAGACGACAAAGCCGTCCAGAAAAAAGGAAGATCGTTGGTCCAGCATGGGGGATATCGGCTCCGTTCAAGAGTCGTATCCTCTCTAAAGATGGGAGAACGTGGCTGTGGTCCCTAGTGGTCAGACAATAAGGGAGTCCTTGACTTACGACCACAGCGGGGCCCCAAATTTCTATTGTCAAGCAAGATGGTTATTAAGTGAACTTTGCATCATTTTACAACCTTTCTTGCCATGGTTGTTAAGTGAATCGCTGCAGTTGTTAAGTGAGTCACACGGTTGTTAAGCGAACTGGCCTTTTTTGTTGACTTGGCTTATCAGAAGGTCACAAAAAGGGGACGCTGCAGCCGTCATAAATACGAGTCCGTTGCCAAAGGTCTGATTTTTTGACCACGTGACCACGGAGATGCAGTGGTCATTAAGTGTGAAAAATGGTTATAGGTCACTTTTCTCAATGCCGTGACAACTTCAAATGGTCACTACATGGGTGGTTATAAGTCGAAGACTACCTGTCCGTGGGGAATAAATGGCAATGGATTTAGAACAAAGAACAGAGATGGCTAAACTTTTTCTCCTCGTCTGCTAAAAGCAAGCAAGCGCGTGCGCGACACTGCCCATGCGTGCCGGTACCCATAATGCAATGCGTCCTCCCCCCTTGCGCATGCGGGCACAACTCCCCCCTGCTCCCCCCCCCATGGGCCTGAACACCCCCCCCCCGTCCCCCATTTTGGGCCTAGCAGGCCTCCCTGCAGCCTCCTGGGCCCAAAAACAGGCCATGGGGGGTACTCTGCCCCCCCCCCCCTTTTTGGCCTAGTAGGCCTCCCTGCAGCCTCCTGGGCCCAAAAACAGGTCTTGGGGGAGGTATTCTGCCCCCCCGCCCCCCGTTTTGGGCCTAGTAGGCCTCCCTGCAGCCTCCTGGGCACAAAAACAGGCCTTGGGGGGGTACTCCGCCCCCTCCGCCCCCCGTTTTGTGCCTTGTAGGCCTCTCTGCAGCCTCCTGGGCCCAAAAACAGGCCTT